CGTTCTTTCATCAAAAACAATTTCTAGATTTCCAAGTTTAGGACAAGTTCAACTTCAAAGAGGGGTAGGCGTTAGGACACAATTGTTATTAGAATGTTTTTGGATGCTTAATTGATATTTATAAAGGACTTAATTGCTACTTTTAATTTCTTTTTATATGTGATTGTAATTTGCTCTTCCTAAGTTGTTTGCTTAGATGAGTCGGTGATATCATATGCCTCAGCACGTGGGAAATATTTACCTAAAATTAGATAACTTTATCTCTATTTTTTTTTCTTTCTGTTGTGTGCTTTGTTTGAGGCTTCGCTATCTCTATTGATAGGAAGGTTAGTGAATGAGCCATGTATAACTCATTCATGACTCTCCATTTTGTCAATAATTATCCGTAATTATTGATTTTTCTTTTTCTTTTCTTGTTTTTTTTAAAAGAACATGTTTTTTTTTTTCTTTTTCAAAAGTACGTGAATCTCACGTGTCGGAGGGACCCACAACACAATTAAAATATACTAAATTGTTTATGGTCGTTCCTCCTTTTCAATCTCTGGTTCTCTTTTTTCTATGACAGAAACCCAAATGTTCTGTTCGGAAGAGAGGAAAATTTGGATGGAAAGAAAATATTGAAGGAAAATAACCAAGAAAAGCTATTTTACTGTGTTTGGGAGCAAGAAGGAAAATTACGGTGGAAAGAAAATAACCACCAAATTCTCTCCGGCCCAACCTCAACACAATCTCTCCAAATCGAAAAGAAAGTGCCTGACACATGAGTGAAAATGTCACTGTTCTGAACTGAATCACAAAACTACCCCAACTAAACTTCATTTTCTTCACGGCTTATCATTATTTTAATGCTCTTTTGATGCTAACTGTTTATAAATAAATATAAATAAGTTATATGCATTGGCAGCATTGCATATATTTATGACACTTATGGTATAGTTTTTCATTCTTTTATTTGCACTATTAATTTAATATTATTTCTTTTATTAGGGTAAAATGGTAAATCTATAATAATTTTTTCTTCAATAATTTAATTTTTTTAAAAAAATATAATACATCTTCTTTTTTCAACCTTTTTCTATCATCAACCATATCTTTTATCCAAACACAATAGTGGAAAATGTTTAAAAAAAAAAGAAAAAAATATTCTTAATAATTATTTGATAATTAATAAGAATAAAATTATAAATTAGCAACAATATCATTTTCTTTCCTCTCTCTTATTTTCCTTTCAATTCAAATGTACAATCCTTTAATATTTTCGTTGTTTCCATTCCTCCTCCTTTTCTTTCCTCTCCTTCCCAAACAAAAAATTCACAAATCGATTGATGTTGGGCTCTCCTCCATCTGAGCTTGTCAAAAATCAGTAAAACAATGTAAAAAGTCGGTGGAAGCGGGATATAGCTCCATCTTCTGCAAGCATGACTAACCCTACTTCCAAATTTCCTGTTTATTATAACCCAGATGAAGAAGAGGATCAGGAAACAGGGAAGCTGGCCATCCGGTTAGCGAAAGCCGTAGTTCTTCCGATGGTATTAAAATCAGCTATAGAGCTTAACATCATAGACATCATCTCCACCGCCACAAGCAATGGCTTGGGGATCTCTCCGGTTGAGATTGCTGCTCAAATACCCACAAAGAACCCAGATGCACCAGCTCTGCTCGACTGTATGTTGCGTCTCCTTGCAAGCTATGACATACTCAACTGCACCAAAGAGAATGGACAAGGTGAAAGACTGTACTCTGCCAGACCCATATGCAAGTTCCTCACTCGAAATGATTCAATCTGTATCTCCTCTGTTTTTGTTGCACCACGATGAAGTTTTCATGAAGAGCTGGTTCTTTCTTTTTCCTTGTATTTTTTTTGGCAAGGTTATTGCTTTATTTTTTTAGTATGATATAATGGTCAGCATTATTATTAGGTACCACTTCAATGAAGCTATACTAGAAGGTGGGATTCCATTCATCAATAGAAGGTGGGATTCCATTCATCAAAACCTTGGGATGACAGTCTTCGAATACCAAGCAACTGATCAAAGATTCAATCAGGTATTCAATGAAGCAATGTCAAACCACACTACGTTATTTGTAAAGAAGATAATTGAAGTTTACGATGGATTTGATGGTGTCAAAGTGTTGGTTGATGTGGGTGGTGGTATTGGAGATACTCTCCGTATCATCAACTCCAAATATCCTCACATCAAAGGCATAAATTTTGATTTGCCCAATGTATTGGCTGATGCACCTTCTTTCCCGGGTAATTAAATTTTTCATTTTTACTTTTTGCATCCTAGATAAAAGTTCTAGTTCCTGAAAATGTGAATCTGTTTTTGGTTCTGATTTATCTGGAGGTTAGAAGAGGTAGAAATAGTTAGACGCTCATTAATAAGTATCCTCCAGAGTCTTCCAACCATGGATGACGAGAAAGTTTGGTCTTATAAATAAAACAACGAAACAAGAAAGAAAAGGGAGGAATGGACCCTTCTAATAGAAGAATCTAACAACAGAAAAATTTCTAATTTTCTAAGCACTATCAAATACCAAATTATAACCAGCAAATATAATCCAGATTATCATTTAATCCAGGAAATACAGCTCTTTATCTCATCTAATCTTGAAACAGCAACATACACCAATAGCTTTTTCTATTTTAATCACAGGGGTGGACATGGGCGCGGGAGACATGTTTGGTGAGCGTCCCAAAGGGAGAGGCATTTTCCATGGAAGGTAATAATCAAATTAATAAGTTTGTCTTTCAAGTGGTATTTAAAATAAAATAATATATGTCCTGTTTCATTTTAAAAACAAAAAATATATTGCCGTGGAATACTACACGGTTGGAGCGACTGAGTACTGCTTAAAATAAATACTTCTCAAGAAACTGCCTTACGAGAGCACTTCCAAGTAAGGCAAAGTGCTAGTTGCGATACTCAATAACTTTCCGGAATCAATACTTCCTTTGGCACCGGAAAATGCTGTTTCTTCTCACATTGTTTTTGAGCAAGACCTGTTCATGTTTGCTCAAACTCCTGGTGGTAAAGAGAGGACCCAAAAGGACTATGAGACCTTAGCAATTAAGTCTGGTTTTTCCAGTTGTGAAGTTGTATGTTGTGCTTACAACAGCTGGGTTATGGAATTTCATAAAGCATAATGACCCACTTTGAATGCACTTTCACCACAAGTCGTTGGCTGCTATTAAAATATTATGTGGCTTTTTTTCTAAATAATGGATGAGTCTGGTGTCTTACAAATATTGTATAACTAAGTGAAGGTTCGTGCCTTTGCACTGGTTATTTTCTTTTGAATCCCTTAATATTGAATCGACTGTTGAGAAATATTTGATACGACACCATCCATTTGGACTCTAAATGAAAAAGGAAGGTTCCTAACTATAAATTTTTAAGCAAATAAAATCATATAAACAGAGATTCAAATATTGAAAAAATCATATCAGAAAACAAAATAAAATCATAACTTTTAGCATCCAATCTCACCTAATTCAAAATTTACAAAACCTCACATAATTCAACGAATGCAAAATCATGACGCTACATCTAATGCCATATTGCTTCTCATTGTAGGCAACGACCGAGGCAGGGACAGGTGACGGAGGGATGGGCAGGTGTCGGAGTGATGGGCAGGTGTGGTCCTCGCCCCCTAACCAAAATTTTTTATTTCACACTTTTAAAAATAGTAAATATTTTTAATTCCCTCCTTAACTCTTAAAATTTTTTATTTTTTATGCGCCTTAAGTTTAATATCTCAGCCTCCTCACTTATTTTAGGTATTGTTTATTTTAATTTAACTTATCATGTTACAAAGATTGATGTTACCATATCTAATGTAATCTTGGGTAAAAAAAACAATTGCAGTACACATAATTAAAAAGTATAAAAAAAAATTATAAACATAGAGTAAATTATGTATAAATACATCTAGACTTAAGATTGTACTATTTTATGTATCATTGATAAGATATAGCTATAGAATAATATTGATATAGAATTAAAATTAATAAAATTAAACTTAATACATCACCAACTTGCCATAATAATACCTCGAGTGATGAATGAGTGTTCGGCATATTTTTCATTGGAAATCCTTAATAACGAAAGTAAAGTAATGAAATTTTTGATAGCGAAACCCTATGAAAGTCTAAATATATGTATAATCTTGGTCCTGAAAGTAAATAAAACATACATTCAAAATCAAATATATATATATATAAGATAATATAAAATATTATAATTTTAAAATGTTAATAAATATAAAACTTCTCAATTATGGATTGTATTAAATAAATATTATAATTTTAAAATGTTAATAAATATAAAACTTCTCAATTATGGATTGTATTAAATTTGTCACTTTATTAAATTTATAATTATGTTGTACACTATTAAAGATTTCTTATTTTTTAGTTATTTATTTATTTATTTTATTTATTGAAGTGTCCAATGGACCGAAATAATACGACTGCACTGCACAATAAGAGTAATTTTTTATTTTATTTTTAATCAATAGAATTTAATTTAAAGAATAAAACTCAATTTACACGCCGAACTTAAGAGCAATAAACAATTTTCCAAAAAATCAACTTTTTTAACGATCCACGCTATGAAATTGTACAACTTCTCTAAGCAACTTGTATTTGTATAGGCTATTCACCAAAGAGATTGGCCAGACATCTTGGATCTCAATTGGATTTGCAAGTTTAGGAATTAGAGTAAAGATTATTTCATACTTTAAACAACCTCTAATTTCACAAATTGATTTACTGTTAATTACTTGACAATCAAATGCTCAATATGAAACTAAAAATTGTAAAAAAAGACGTAGAAGGCTTTAAGCAGGACTAGCCCCCCCCCTTTTTTTTTTTTAGCAAAATTAAATTTATTTTATTATTTTAAATCCAAAAAAAAAAAACTTAGCTTATTCAAAAAATTATACCCAAATAATAAAGTTCTCCACTTACACCCATCCTAGTTTGGACAAGCCAATCATTTAAGGATAATATTATAGTATCATTTTATTCACTTAAAAGGCATAAAATATAAAAGATATAAACTACAAAGGTACCTAAAGATGTGTGCATTTCATGCTCACAAAAGTGATTCACACATTACTCTCATTTGATTCAATGTGTTCACACTTCATAGTCATGACCATAGCAGACTTCATCTCCTTGCACTGCTCATTTTCATGGCAAATATTCTCAGTTGTACTCATTTTGATCTCTGTAGCTCCTTTATCCTCTTTTTTCGCATTTTTGTATATCATATACAATGCCATTTGAGCAATGCCAAATAGAAATCCCAGCACATTTGGTAGCTGACACATGGGAAAATCATAAAAGATTAAAATTGAGAAAATTATTTTTAAAAAATTGAATTTTTCTTTTTCAATTTACTGTTATAGTACTCACTGCAATAAAGAAATCCTTCACAAAAAGTCCATATAAGAACCAAGTTGTAGCAGAGAGAGTGAGGAACAATGATAATGGGAATGGCATAAATTCAACGCTTCTTGTTCGTACCACTCGCATCTGTAAAATGCAAAATAATTTTTCAATCAGTTCGAGTATTACAAAAATTAATTTATTTTTTATTTTAATTAGAGTAATTAATTTAGTACCATTATGCTTAATGGCGCTGCAAATACCGCAACACTAAAAGCTGCACATATCCACCCAACAGTATTTACTCTTTGGGAGCCCTTTATCAGTAACATTGTCAGTAATATCATCAACCCAAAAGCTCCAATGTTGAAGACAAGGATTAACTTCAATGTAAACATCTAAGTAACCTCTGCAAGTATTTGTTATTAAATTTCTTTAAACAGAAAGAGACCGCGCTATTCCCTGTATAGAGTTTTACTTTTAGATTGTGATCATTTAGCAATCACTGCAAGTTTTAATCTCCCAAGTTTAAAATATATAGTAATTATTAAAGAGAGTGTTGAAAGTTAATTTATTAATCACTCTCCTTCTTTGGCGCATAAATAAGGTACAATATAATGTAAGCAACTTCAAGGGCACATCCAAAAGCATTGATACTCGACTATCACTAATGCAGTTTCTCAGAAGAGCATAATATAACAAGCAATATTGCTACTTCATAAGTGCAACCAATATAATGGTATGGATTGAAACCCTTCTGGATGATTTCGTCTTATAAATTTTGTGAAAGGTGGCCTGAAAAAAAACTTAATATGGTCAGAAAGTAATTAATAAATTGATGAATGTTAATTTGTGTCTTATTCGAAGCTCTTACACTGGCGCCAAGAACACCGATCGAATGTAATAAGTTACGCTAGGACAGAAACAGAAATAGGAATCATTAATAATAACTTTGAGTAATTGAGCGCCAAAACTAATTCAAATGCATTAATTATTTTTACCCAAGACACCAAATATAACAGAGAGTTCCTCATGGGTCAAGAACGCCATATCTTTGATCAAGACTTCTAGGTGTAGTTGCTCTTAAAGCCTAAAAAAATTAGGAACTAGTTAATATTACTTAAAAGAATAACACTAAGAAGACGATGATGAAACTCTCTCTGAAGAACGTTTAACTTATATACGGAAGATTAGAAGTGTTAGGCCACTGAGTTTTAGGTGGAAATGCAACTATAGACACCACAATTTGGGAAATAAAAATGATGAATTAATGCCTGTGCCTTTTGGAAGAACTTTTAAGTTTTGTTTTGAATACCATTAGTAGTAATATCTCTATGAAATTGTCTTGTTTAATTTCATTGCCATCAACATTGATCAATAATCAAACATTTCCCCAACATTGATCAATAATCAAACATTTCCCTTTAGAGAATAGTCTCAAGATTAGGGTCTTGAAGATCGGTTTCTGCTATTTTAAGTTAAGAAAGTTTGCTGGATATGTTGTAACCTCTTGCACCACATGCTCATTCTTTCGTCAAATGAGTCTATGCAGTGTATTTCCCATCAATTGATATAATCATGAAAGGTATTTTCATTTAATAGAAGTATTAAATGATTTTTGTTTTTTTCTAAAAAAAAAAAAAATACTTGGAGCTCCAACGACAGTAATAACATCATGGACAACATAGTAAGGATATCCTTTCTCTTTGAATTAGGAGTGACAATTTTACCCGATTCGGCAAACCTGATTCAATCCAATTTTGGCGGGTTCGGGTAGTGAATAAACCAGTTTTGGGAAATGTTTGGCTAGTATTTTTACTATCCAGATTGGGTTTGGATTCAAGGACTCGAGTACCGCTACCCGTTACCCGTTTAATTAATATTCCAAAAAATTTAAAATAATTATTGTTCTAAACAAAATATTATATGTACAAATTATAATTAATGCTATAATTATATTTAATATTTATAATATATATTTTTTATTAAGTCAAAGTAATAATTTTATAATTTTTACTTACTTTATTAAGTCAAAGTAATAATTTTATAATTTTTACTTACATTTTACTTTTGAAAAATAAAAAAGTTATTTTTAAAGCTAAACGGGCAAGTATTTAAGCATATAATTATAATCGGGTTCGGTATTAAAGTTGAATTTCTAAACGGGTTTGAAATGGATTCGGTTATCTAATTTACAATCTAGTTAGATTAAGATGTTGCATTTTAAATAGATATATGACATGTAGTCATTCCTACTTTAAATAATATTCACTAAATTAGTGATAACTTCTACGGTGCAGAGGATTCAAATTTCATATCTCTCAATCTTTATATCTTCTATACAATGTTAGAAGGCCAACCCGACTCATGTGATAAAATATTAAATTATAAAACATTATTCACACCAATTTATATAAAATATAGATACGAGGTGTAAGAATTACAACCATTAATTAACATGCATAAATAAATAAATACGTGTGTTTGGTATTCAGTTATTTATAATTTGTGAATACTTGGAACCATATCATCAGCATGCATCTAAATTGGACAACCAAACAAAATTGATGGATTGACAGATTGGGTGAATACATGTATTCATTAATTAGTGCCTTATGGCATCTTTCGAATCTTTTTTGTGTGTAATTCTGCTCCCGCCGTGTCATGCATGGATTGATATATATTTTGGTTTTTTGTGTGTAATTCTGCTCGTATCGTGTCAAGCCAGATGTCCTGCATGAATTGTCCTTTTATTTATTTTTTTTCTTGTGCTTTTTCTTTTTTCCTTTTCGTTTTTTCTTTTGTGTACAATTCTGCATGTATGGCATCAAGTCGGGAAAAGCTTTCTAACATATATTTTCTCCGATCGACCTAAGTTGATTATATTTTTTTATTCATTAGAGATCGTACGAATTAAAATAACGCTGTGTGAAAAAATTAATTAAATCCTCCTGATTGACCGTTGGTCATGTATATTAAAATTATTGATATTACAGGTTGTTACATTATATTTTTTTATTATTTATATTCTTTTATCTAACATATAAAGGGACTAAAATTTAAGAAGAGAAATTTATTGGGACAATACTTTGTGAGAATGCCGAACATTACGGCCACCGAAGCCCAACATTTTCCAACATCGTTTCCAAGCAAAGCAAATAGAAAGAACAATTACCAAATCAAGTACCAATTATGTATTTCCAACACGGAAAATCTTGTATAGTATATATCTTTTCTTTTGATTGGCAAATAGAAAGAACAATTACCAAATCAAGTACCAATTATGTATTTCCAACACGGAAAATCTTGTATAGTATATATCTTTTCTTTTGATTGTTACTTTAAAAATTTGTCGTGTTTTATTATAGTTTTATTTATTTATTTTTGTCAAGAAATTTGTTCTAAAAATTTATGGTGTCTTATTTCCAATTACATTTTTAAATTAGAAATTATTAGCCTACTCCCGATATATCCCATGAACCATATTCCAAGCAATGGAATAACTGTTATTTTAAAAAATTTTCCTATTTGGATTTTTTTTTTATATATAAACCACTGGTACCCGGATCTTATTACCAGAAACTAATTAAATTCAACTCGGGCTTAGTCACAGTTAGGCTCTTCGCCCCTTCTGCATGTGTCTTTAATGAGAATCGAACCCGAAAACTCTTCCTTCATGCACAGCCTGCATTACCAACTGAGTCACAATCTGTAGTTTATTTGTATTTTTTTGTCTTTACTTTTCCTTAATAAATGGGCAGAATACTCTTGTTTGTCCTATGTGTCTTCCTCAGACCGTTCCACTCTTATATTTGGTGTAAGTGTTATCTATTAAGTTTGTTGAGTGTTTATGCATCATGACTTGTAAGTAAATTCAAGTAAATTTTACTTATTTTTACTTGAGTTTACACAAAAAAAAAAAAAAAAAAAAAAAAAAAAAAGAAAAAAAAAACTTTAAAAGTATTACTCCATCTTTCTGCTTTTTAATCAGCAAACATTCGTCTTTTAACAAGGAATTTAAGAATGATTGGAAACACATAGTTTTCTTAAAAGAAATATGTAATAAATTACCTAAAATTTCCCTTCTTAAAATTAACAAACTGAAATTAAAAACTCCCCATTTAATTTTATATATTAATTTTATCTTATATTAAAGAATCAACATTAGAGTAGTACTTCCATTTCATTTTTTTCATGCTTCATATAATGAATAACTTTTAGTTATGTGTGTGGTCAAAATTTTAAGTTAACTACAATTAAAAATAATGATAAAAAAAGAAAAATAAATATAAATATCAAAACAAATTGCATCTACTAAATATATGGGTAATTAGACCAAGGCATAGCCTAGTGATAAGTACATATACAACCTTATAATAGATCTAGGTTCGAATTTTCCTCCCCCAATATTAAAAAAAAATGATATATATATGGGTAAAATTAAAAAATAATAATATACTTTTAAAGTCCTAAATAAGCACAAGTGGAGCAAAATAAAATGTTTTTTGGTGTTATTAAAGTAGAACGGATGGAGTACAAATTAGAAATCTTTATAAAACTTTAGCGACCAAACTTATTATTTTATAAACTTCCATTTAAGAAACTATAATTTTTACAAAATATGTGAAAATATTACAAAATATTAATAATATGCAATATTATTTTGTAAACAGCACTTATTATAAATAAAAAAAAAAAAGCTGTATTATACAAAATATTAAAAAATGTTACAACATACTAGCAATTGGAGCAATTATTTTGTAGACCGCTAACTTTTACAAAAAAAAATTACCTTTTATAAAAATACTAGAAAGTGTTACAAAATATCGAAAAAACTAGAAAAAGTGTTTACAAAATATCGGAAGCTATTATTTGTGTAATCTACAACTTGCTATAAAAAAAAAAAAAAAAAAAAAAAAAAAAAAAAAAAAGCCAATGTTTATAGCTTATTTAAAAAAATATTCACCCAAAACATATTGATAGAAGTTTTAATAGTTTATAATCTGATTAGCTTCTATGAAAAAAAATAGTCACCTTTTACAAAATATTTTAAAAATATTACAAAATATCCAAACTTTTACAAAATATTTAAAAATATTACAAAATATCCAAAACTTGAACTATTATTTTGTAAATCACAAAAGAAAAATCACTTCTTAACAAATTATTAGAAATTATTAATATCGGTAACTGAAGCTATTATTTTATATCCAACAATTTATTAAAAGCAGCCACTTTTTACAAATTATTAAAAGTCATTATAAAATATCGACAAACTAATACATAAATGCACTCTATGTTTTCTTACTTTAGAAAAAACTGAAAAAAAAAATTTTGGAATTAAGAAAGTAGTTAAATATAAATTTTTATCTATGTTTTTATCTATAATAAATCTAATCAACCTTAAATATATAATTAACGATAAAAAAGCCAACTCAGTAATATAGTATTTTAATGGTACATTTATTAACTAAAATCTTTAAGAATTGTAAGAGTCTCGTCAACTTCAAATTAGAACATTTCAATAGATTTACATTGTTTTCGTAAATAGGCACTAGTAAGAAGAAAACTATCCTCATACATCATGATTGTCAAACATAAAAGCGTTATCGTTTTGCTTAAGATTGTTCTATCATTGAATGATTCAATGATGTGAG